AACATCAGCAGGAAATCGAATAAAGTATTATCTGTTAGAATGCATTATGTTTTAAGGGAAGAGTTCTTTAGTTTTAAAAGATCTTCCAATACGGAAAATTTGCAAGAAAAGCGATGTTGTTTTGGAAACTCCATGCTGAATAAAGATAAAAAAAAAAACTTTCAATTTAAATGCTCTGTATTTAACATATTATTTGTGTTTAGAAAATCATCATTTTCCAAGGATTTATATAGTACTATATAAATCCTTGTTTTTTTCATTTCGAAATTTTAAAAATATTTTTACAATGTTTTCACCGCCATGCATACACTTTTAAAATATTTCTTAATTAATCGTTCAATGACGAAATTTTTCATAACATTTAACATAACATTCAAACAATATTTTTAAAACTATTTAACAATGTGTCTTCTCTGGATTTATCCATCCAACACAATTAAAGTGCATGGTTTGTCAGAGAAGACCCCCCCCCCTCCCCCCCCCCCCCCCAAAAAAAAAAAAAAAATGCACCAAAATTAGTTTCTGAACCAATATCAATTAACATAAAACATTGAATGTTCTAACATAGAGTGCGAGTTTATAGTTAATGTTTGTATAGGCGTAAATCACCAAAGATATGTGCTTATATATAATGTTGGACGCCAGGCGTGCGTCATGTCTACAAAGGATCAAAACATTTGGGAGGTAAAATCAAATACGATTACTACTTGGAATCCTTTAATTTCGGTGTTTGACCATTGGGTTTGTATAACTCTTGACATTAAAATTCTGTGTCGTGTATACCGGGATTACAACGCTCTTGGAGCTAACGTAAATATAGAAAACTGTTAAACGTGTCATCGAAGTGTTTCTTATATAACTTATCAAGTATAGTTTTATTTTTTTTTTTTTTTTTCATTATTTTTGAACTGGAAAAATGTCAACATGGAACATACAAATGTCAGCCTAGAACCGAGAAATGTCAAATTGGAAATGAGAGATGTTTACAAATGATTGTACCTACCGGTCTTTCGTCTTTCGTATTAAATAATCATGATCACTAAAGCAACATTTATAACTGAAAACTATTTCTAAAGATATTTTTATTTTTAATAAAAGTCCCGCTTTAAGATATTTAAAGAATTTGACCACATTTTCTTAACTTTTGGGATATTTATATTCTTTGTTGTAGTAATGCAAATTAATTTGAATATATTGTAAACATTATATTATGCATCGATTTGTTTTTAGTTAAGCCACTGATATCACTCCCTGTTTTTGTGAGGTCCGCCTCTTTGGATTTCAATCGGCAAACCTCAGCAGATTCCGCTATCATTCAACTAAAAGAGGGACGAAAGATTACAGAGTGACAGTCAAACTCATAGATCGAAAACAAACTGACAACGCCATGGCCAAAAATAAAAAGACAAACAGACAAATAATAGTACAGATGACACAACATAGAAAACTAAAGACTAAGCAACACGAACCCCACCAAAAACTGGGGGTGATCTCAGGTGCTCCGGAAGGGTAAGCAGATCCTGCTCCACATGTGGCATCCGTCGTGTTGCTTATGTTATTACAAATCCGGTAAATAGTCTAATTCGGTAGGTCACATTCGTGAAAAGGGAAGGGTATTGTAGTTACGACATAAGGAACATATCCGATATCATCTGTGAAACGGTTATACCATAACGGTCAACCAACTCGTGATGGCGTCCGTAAAACTTACGAAGGGATGATTTCAACTTCACAATTTGGAACTCTTGGTTTAATAGCTTCCTTGTGAGGAGTAATCCTCTATCACGGAAATCATGATAGGTAATACAAGCCCTGGAATATCGTATCAATTTGGAGATATATAGTCCGTATGCAGGCGCTGCTGGAATGTTGCTACATAGAAATGGAAAGTTCACAATTGGGAAGCCGAAATCATCTCTTTAATTTAAATTAGGTCTACCGAAGTTCGCCGAAAGACTTTTTTTTCAAACTTTGTGACATTTGTCTTACCATCAGGATAATTTTGTGATTTAATTAATTTGATTGCAATTATTGAAGTCACTATTTCTCAAATGTTCCAATAATCATTAAATAATTTAACAGATATTTTAGCTACAGTGGTAATGCGCTTCGCCCTTAATACGCAACTTATTGAAGCAACAATTCCTATGATATCAACATCTGGTTTTATTTTAGCAAGGAATGAACTAGAAAATAGTTATTTCTGTTGCACTTCCTTCTTTATACTGATTACGTAATTGATTAAAGATTTTATTAGTAAATTGGTTCAAATATTTGTCTTTAACTATTTTGCTTACCTTGTAAATAGTTCAAAACATTTTTGCGGATGTTTTATGATACCCATACCTTGGTCTGATTTTTCTGTTATCATTTTTTCGATGCAGCAACACGAACGTTAACTAAAATATGAGGTATTTTAGTTGTATTGTTTTTCCTTTAGGTAAGATTTGTATCGTTTAGTGTTAAAACTGCCACTCCTCATACCTCCGCTGACTGTTACATGTAGTTGAGGAGGTTATCACCAATCTGGTATGAAATTACGGATATTGTTTTATTGAAATTGCTGTTATAAAACGTATAAAGAAATTATTTAAAATTAAGTAAAATATCTCCTTGATGCATAGCTTGTATACCTTGTACAAGTTTGGCAATAGTTTTGGTCTGTATCGGTTATATCTAGTTAACGTGCATGTGTGTAAATAGGTTTTTAATTTTCATTTATTTTGGAAGGAATGAGAAAGTAGTAAAACAAGCTTTTTCTAAGCTTTCAGGTTTCAGTGCTAAATGGTCAGGTAAATGGTTTAAATGCAGCAAGACTTAGTTTTTTGTCAGATGCAGGAAAAACTAATTGAAGCTAACCCTTTCTGTTTGACAAGAAAATAAATGGTGAATGTGTCAATGGGATCCATGGGACACAGATGATGCCCCCGCTTGCATATAACATTATAAAGGGATTTAACTCAAGAATGCTAAAAGTGACGCTACCCAAATTTGAAGTTGATCTGAGTTTTGTGGTACTAAGCATTGTGTATAAGTTTCATTACTTAAGTTAGAGAACGGAAACAAAAATTCAGCAATTTTTCCATTTGTAAAGGGATATAACTCTAGAACGGTAAAAGTGATGCCACCCAAATTCAATCTTGATCTGTGTTTTGTGGGCATAAGCATTGTGTTTGAGTCTCATAACATTTGGTTGAGGCAAACTAAAGTTAGAAAACGGAAACCAATTTCGGGACGTACGAACGGACAAGGGTAAAACTTAATTGCCCCTTCCGCCAGTCAGGAGCCTGTTGGTTTGTTCTGGTTTACCCTATATCTTTTTCATTCATTGTTTTTTCACTTAAATCAGTTCGTTAGTTTTCTTGTTTAAACATTTGTCATTTTGAGGCCTTTTATAGCTTACGCGGTATGGCTTTTTGCTCATTTTTGAAGGCCGTTCAGTGACCAATAGTTGCTAACTACGTTATTTGGTCTCTGATGCATAGTTGTCTCATTGGCAATCATACCACATCTTCTTATTTTCATAATGATTAAACTGAGTCTTTTGATTTTTGTGACATTAGGTTGCTGTCTCATTGTAAGATAGTTTTATTTTTATTTATATAAAAAAATCTATTAATAAGCATAGTATAATTTCCAGATAGTACCTGGAATGATGCTGTAAATTATGAAATTTGTGAGTGCATTTATATTGCAATTGTTGAACAATGGGCACAAATGCAAGATTATTTATTGGTATACTTCAGAGAATGCCTCAAACGAAAAATGCTATTGAAATTTTATATGTTAAGTTTTTATCTTTGTGAAACATGTTCTGTCACAATTTCATTTTACAGAAATTTTTTGTCTGATCAGCTGTCAGCATAGCATGTTGCATTGATTTTAATACACCTTATCACTATTTGGAAATCTGTGCCGGTTGACACGAGAATCTGCGAGACTTGAACTTTTGACGTCATACAACAATCACTTTTCCATTGTGGCGTCAGATATTTTCTATTGTGTCGTCAAAATTTTACGGGAACCTTTGTGATGTCCAGTAATGGCGGACAAGTAGTGATAAGGTGTATTGTCTGGTCAGCAATTATTGCTATCATACCTATTTGCCCTGTATGCATTATAAATTAAAACCACATGTCTTTATTAAATGTTTATTGACATATTTCTCTTCCCTATTACACAAATGTTTACACGTATTGGTTCACTCTGACTCACACAAATTGCACACATACCATGTCGTCTTACCCACAATTAAGCAACAATAATATCAAGCATATCATACTGCTCTTAATTTCTTGCAAATATAAAATAAGAAAAACAATAAAACATACATATTATAAGAACAAGGATGACACAATTAATTTTTTAGAAGACAACACTGAAATACGTTATTAGTTTTTAATATTACAGTATTGACTCAAGTTGCAAGCTTTTTTATTCGTGGAACCCTATGTTTTGATACCAATCTTTTGATCAGTTATAATAATAAGTTATTTTTACATTTGCATTTATTTAATTGCAATAGTATTGAAATAAAATACCTATCAATTTTAAATGGAAAGACTAGATCAATTCAATAAATATGTGCATTTAGATGAAACTGCTGTTTTAACAAGCATTACAAAATTGTCTTTAATATCTATGTATAAGAAGTGTCTTTAGCAACATGACACTAAAATATTTTACACTGAACTTGTCAACTGTATTCATTTTAAGAACTAAAGCAAAACTAGAATGATTATTTTACATACATATGATACTAATTTCAGTGCACATGACATGTTTTTAGAATGTCCTTCATCAGATACACATGAGACTAGCAGTTTGAGGATCTCAACATAATTAAGGGACAATCGAGAAGATTTAAATTCATTGACATGGTTGAAGGTCAACTTTGCTTGAGGGAGAAGTGACTTAAGTTTTGATAAAATTATCTTACTTTTTAAATGAAAATTTACAAATATATCACAATGCATCTTTTAACATGTTTAAGTCATGATTGTACCAATGTAACTTATGGCTGTTGGGTGAATAACCTAAAAAAATTCAGTCCACAAGGAGAGACATCAACCCAGTATCAATATCTCCTGGTACATGTGGAACATGAATACCTCTTTTATTTCACTGGTATTTTCACATTTTGTATATGTAATGTAAAAGTTATGTTTAGATCATTGTGAACAGACATCTTAAAAGTTTTCATCAACATTTTTCATAACAGGATCAGGCAACATGGCCTTAGTTCTCAGGCATTTATGCTGCTGGTTGAACTCCCAATGTCCAATGAAGTATTCTCTTTTTCCTGTTACTATATAACAACTGATTACATCATGATTTCTGACTCGTGTCTCTAGATCTGTAAATGAGTCCTTTCTGTTTGATACTTCGAACAACACCTGGTGGTAAACGTCCTGTTACTGATATGGCATAGCATCCTTTTACAAAACCTCCTACAATTTGGAAAAAAAACATGTATTTATATCTTGAAACAGGAATATCATTTTACTGTAAATAATAAATTTAAGACAAATCGAAATGTTAGATCCTTTTCCTTAAAGCTAGTGAATTAGTATTGTTATAAATTATGTGATACATTTGGAATATAAATTTTCAATTAATTCAACAGTACTAAAAGTTTGCTAGCAACTGCCCCAGGCATTATTTTAGTGGCAAATATTTCATGCATATTCAGGAGGACAACAATTTGTAAAGTGAGTTGTTTGTGATTCTGTAAAAATTTGAATCGTTACTGGCAAATGAGTGCCAGATAGTGCAGAAATGTTGCCATGCATCATGTCATTTACCTACCCCTCAAAGACGTGTTGCAGACAGTGTGGGACTTTTCTTACTCTTAATGTGAATGCCTATTTATTAATCCTGCAAAGCTTAAAGAATGTTCTTTGTGTGGAGGTCGTACAACCCCCCTTCATTCCCAGATGAAGGTACTGGGACCACATTACACACCCTGGAATAAATCTGTACCCTCTGTTGACCTCATATGATTGTGGTTGTTTTATTTATTTCCTGTCTACAGTTTATGCTCACAAAGCATTAATGTTTTTGCAAAATTTTGGTCTCCTGCATACCAGATGAAGGTTATTCACAGAAATTAGTATCATCTGGCTTTTGGCCATTAAACTTTTAAAAATTGGTGCTCGAAACACCAAATCCAATTTTTTGATTGCTTGATTTCTGAGTGAGCAAGATAATCGTTTTGAAAAGGATTATGACCATGTGTAACATACCTGCTCGCTGCCACTTAGCCACCCAGCTGTCTTTTGGATCCATAAGAGCAACGAACCTATAAATCATAAAATAGACATTATTTTTATCCCTTTGATTTAATCTTATAAAAAGAATAGTGGCTTATACAGAGCTCCAGATAAGAATTCACAAATTGGGGTTTTTACCCACCATTTTTTTATATAATTGGGTGATAAAGTTTTTTAATTGCATTATCAATTCCAATTCACCCCTCAAGCAAATATCAAATTGGGTTTTTCACCACCAAGCTCCTTAATGTATTGGGTTTTTTCATCAACACAATATTGAATATTTAGGCATGTTATAATCACATTATATCAACCCCAGATGTGTTTCCATCTTAAATGTGTTTCTTTCTTTGTATATGTGCTTAGCTGTTTTATTTGGTTTATTCACTGACGAGCAATTGTACGTTTAATTTGTGTCCCGTTTTAAACGTTCTGTCAGTTTTGTATTTTCTCAAAACTTATGTAAACTGCAGCTAGTGTCACTAGTTGGACAGTAACTAATTGCCTTTCTAGATCCCATATGATCACCCTACAGTTTATAGTTGGGGTAGGTGTGGCTTAGATTGTTATGTAATATATGTGAAATTTAGGTGCTGTAAGAAAGTTTTGCCAGTCCTTTCACCTATTTGCCAGATCTACTTTTTAATAAAATTAAAAGTAGTTCCCAGATTTAAGATATACCCCAAAACCTTGAGATTTATAGGGTGGTTTAATGATGGAGACCACATTCAACTTAAATTTACAAATAATTCTGCAACATCAAGTAAATAAATGACAATGTTATACTGCACTTGCCAATAAGACAACTATCTTAAGCATCCAGAACAATTAGACCAAAACAAAGAAAGTGTCAAGCTGCATAATTTGACGTAAAAAACGGATATGTGTATTCATTCATCAACTAAAATGAAAAAAAAATAATATATTTATAAACTGTTTTTGTTTAATTCAATTTACAGAAATCTGGGTTAAGTTGTCCCTTATCAGAACTTTTGGTTTCCGATGCTTTCCAACTTCATATCATGTCATAATTGATTTGGCCTTTCACTTTTTCCAACTGATTTCGTTTTTGACGAAACCCCGTGTTTATCGTTCTATAGCAATGTTCTCGTACCTTCAAACACGCCCGTGCGTTCAATGGACGCTTCCTAAAATCACTAGCTGAGTCTTGTTATCATCATAACTTTCCCTCAGCTATCAAAAAGAAGCCGAAAACATGCTTCCATTCAATATTTTTATCGGACATTTACTTTCGTTTTAATTCATTGTATGCTATGATAAATCCCGAGCAATTCGAAAAAATATGACAGCATGTCACACGCTAATTGGATAAACGCAGAGAAGATCGAAATGTTTTCATAAACACGTGTACCTTTTGAGCAACGGAAAATTCCAACAGGGACACATTACAGCTACTTGATGCAGGGCTCTATTTTAAGAACGAAAGGACATTTCCAATTATAAATTATAAAAATAGATTTACGCGACGACTGTAATCAGATAAGGGTAAATAACGCAAACGATAGCGAATAAAAGCGTTAAGAACTCATGGTTTTGGCATATAATTGGGTTTTCCTTTGAATTAATTGGGTTATTGAACCCTGCAATGGGCAATTGCATTGGGTTTTTAATTATTTGTATTGCGTGATCACGCAAATACGCAGCTTATCTGGAGCTCTGTTATATATAAGGATTCCAAAATCAAAGTTGTTGGACAGATTGTTTATGAGACTCTTTCGAAAAATATAACCAAAAAATCTTTTAACATATTCAAATTAATTTCTTTGCCAAGTTAATCTCCAAACATACAATCAAATTTACTGATGCATACCCATCAAAGTTAGAACTGGTACAGTCATATACTGCTGTTCTGTTGTTCTTCAGATGAAGATATTCTTCACAATTATCACATCCATGTAACTCAAACTGGTCAATTGTCTGAAATTATAACAATACAGTATTTAGAAACATAACAACATGAACAATAGACTTGTAATTTACTCATTATATGTCGTCAGAACGTGTAAATAACACTTTATAGTTTGTAATATATCATTTTTAAATGGACTAAAAAATGTCAATGCAGATGACATGATTTACTCTGGTTTTAAAATTCCATTAGATTTTAAGCATCGGGTCTTTTTATTAAAATTTCAAAACTTTAATAGCTTAAGGCAAAGTATACATCATGATGATAATTGGGCAGTATTCAGATTTAATAAACTGTTTCGCCGAGCGCAGTGGATACATCCGCAGAACCTCTGTGATTTATATTTCTTGATATCTTTTTCAAAAATATGAGTCGAGAACAACTGAATCTAGTCATTAGATATAAGACGATGTGGTATGAGTGCCAATGAGACAACTCTCCATCCAAGTCAAAATTTATAAAAGTAAACCATTATAGGTCAAAGTACGGTCTTCAACACGGAGCCTTGGTTCACACCGAACAGCAAGCTATAAAAGGCCCCAAAAATTACTAGTGTGAAACCATCCAAACAGGAAAACCAACGGTATAATCTATAAAAAAACAAGAAACGAGAACCACTTATGAACCACATCAACAAACGACAACTACTGAACATCAGATTCCTGACTTAGGACAGGTGCAAACAATTGCAGTGGGTTTAAATGTCTAAATGGTACAAAACCTTCACCCTTATCTGAAACAATAGTGTAACATCACAACATAGAAAGGCACACTATAAAATATCAACTGAAATGGCTTAACTCAATCAACGGACATATTAACTAGAGTGAACATACACTGAACAAATAAATTTGATCTATGATACAATGTAAATACAAAATAAATAAACTAAGGGAAGAATAATAAAAGTAACATGTTATACCGCTGTGAAATGTTAAACAATTTAAGAAAAACAATATGCTCGAACAAAAATATCAGCCATTTGCAATTAATTTAAACACAGGTAAATGAAAATAATTTTGTTGTTAGGTATATGTGTACAGTTCAAATAACATGTTTAAGGATGTTCGCTCCTCTTGATTTTGAATTGGCTATATGATTTAAATTTATATTCAATTTTTTGCTTTTGTGCAATACACTTTGCTGTTGCAAATTGACCCCCCCTCCCCCCACAAAAAAAATTAAAAAATTTACCCCCCCTTTTTTTTTGCTTTTGAGCAATACACTATACTGTTGCGTATTAACCCCCTCCCCCCCACACACACTTTTTTTTGGCATAAAAAATAATATTTGAAGAATTTTTCTTTTTAATTTCTGAAATCTGAAATGAGAAAAAATTGACCCCCCACAATTTCTTTTACCCCCCCCCCCCCCCTTTTTTCCCCTTTTCCCCCAAAAAATTCTTTCCCTCAAGATATGGTCATAATCTCAATTCAAATTTCCAATGGAGTTTGCAACCATAGTTACCCATTTAAATTTACCATAGTGCTAACTTAATCTATTTTATAATAGAATTTAAAATATGGTGTCAAATCTTTTATATGGATTTTTTTGTAAAAAAAAAAAGATGCAACATTTGCAGATATTTTTTCTGGTCTTCCTTTATAAATATGCATTTCTTTAAACATAATTCAAAAGCAGTGTAAGGGAGGTAACCAAAACGTTGTATTTGTATTTGGATTACCTCCCTTACACTGCTTATAAATTGTCTCAATTGTTCATTAACCATTAGTTTATACATAATTGAAAAGCAGTATAAGGGAGGTAATTCAAATGATGTATTTGCATTATCTCCCTTACACTGCTTTAAATTATGTTTTATACTAAAGTATTTGTCCATTAACCAGGATACCCTTGTTTTTCCCCTTTTTTGCCCCTTATTCTTAAACGGTTTGAACCATAACCCCCCAAAGCAAATCCTAACCATCCCTTATGGTATGGAAACTTGTGGTATAATTTCAGAGAGACCCATACACCGTTCCACAAGTGATTGTCTGGAAACTAGAAAAATGCTTATTTTTGACCCCTAATTCCTGAACTGTTGGAAGCATAACCCCCAAAATCAATCCCAACCTTCCTTTTGTGGTATTGAACCTTATGGTAAAATTTCATAGAGATCCATTCACTTAAACTAAAGTTATTGTGCAAAAACCAATGTGTCTTCGGACGACGTCATGACGACGCCAACGTCATACCAATATACGACCGAAAATTTTTTTGGGGTCGTATAAAAAAACAGTCACTTCCTTTTCAGGTAAAGTGTCGCAAAAACAAAGGTCCTCAGTAACAAGCTAAAAGTTTAGAAAGCAAACATTTTGAAATTTTGATAGATTATGATTCACTTTTTTTAAACACAAATTAAAGTAATACAAATTCTTTGTTTGAAGTGTTTACGATGGTGTAAACATTTCTCTTTGAAAAGTTTTATGCATATATAGTTTCTTTCTATGTTGTGATGTTATACTATTGTTTCAGGTAGGGTGAAGGATGTCGCCTATTAAAACATTTAAACCCACTGCATTTGTTTGCACCTGTCCTAAGTCAGGAACCTGATGTTCAGTGGTTGTCGTTTGTTGATGTGGTTCATAAGTGTTTCTCGTTTTTTTATATAGATTAGACTGTTGGTTTTCCTGTTTGAATGGTTTTACACTAGTCATTTTTGGGGCCCTTTATAGCTTGCTGTTCGGTGTGAGCCAAGGCTCTGTGTTGAAGGCTGTACTTTGACCTATAATCATTTACTTTTACAAATTGTGACTTGGATGGAGAGTTGTCTCAGCTTTCATGTCGATCCGGCCCAAGTCGATCCAAGTGTAATTCATAAATATTTATGAATTTTGATATAATAATATAAAAGGTGGACGGTAAAAAAGTTGGCCTTTCACGAATCTTTGAATATTAAATTTTCGTAAGATGAGACATTTATTTCAATATTTTTTTAAAATTTATATTAAGATTTCACATTCGTTATCATGGTAATATTATATTATTTTTATATAAAATATTTGAATTCAAATCAAATTTACACCTTAAACATGTTAAATGAATACGGATAATTATGCAGTATAAAAAAATTATATTGATTATGTTTTTATATTACAAGTTTTCAAGACTATTAGGTATGCATAATTATAATAATCAAAGCACTGTAAGCGCTGTAGGCAGTTAACCAAAAACCAAGGCAAACGTAATTATGAAAACTGTGGCAATGTTGCTTCAATTTTTAAGATTTGAAAGAACAAACATTAAACATTCGTATATTGTACATTTATGTTCATTAAATGAATTGATTATTAAGGCAAATTAATTAATATTTCATCAAGGTTTTCAAAAGCAACTCATGATCATATATCAATGTAAATGACCCCCATCTTCACCCCCAAGTGCATGATGTTACTCCATACTAAGTTTGGAATAAAATGACAGGTGATTATAAAACAGTTGGTCAAACATTCTCGGGCTTTACACTGCTTGAAAGATTTATATGTTTTCTTTAAAATGAGCCATAAATGAAAATGATTATAGGCCCAGAAATAATTTAATAAACAATTAAAGTAAATTCAATAATCTAGACTCATTTTTTGGATCAAAATTTTTTTTTATAATAAACAAGAAATAATTGTAACAGGATGCCGTTACGAAGTCTCCCAAACAAAGCCCCCATAATTCGTCATTCCCATGGTCTCCTGACATTGGGCAAAGTCCAGTTCATATTGGTTTGGTCTAGTAAAGTGATATGCATATGTGACACCAAGGAGATTGACCCTGTATGTCATTCAAATCTTTTTGAAATGATGAACAGGAATAAATACGGTTTAGGTGTGGGTATCTCGACCGTTTACAAGTTCTCAAACAGGAGGGGGTGGGGTGACCCCAGGGACTCCCCCTATATTTCATTTGATTTGTTATATTGTCCCATACATGATTACATATGGTTTAGGGGTGGGGATCTCGACCATTTCCAAGTTCTCAAACAGGAGGGGGTGGGGTGACCCCAGGGACTCCCCCTATATTTCATTTGATTTGTTATGTTGTCCCATACATGAATACATATGGTTTAGGGGTCGGGATCTCGACCATTTCCAAGTTCTCAAACAGGAGGGGGTGGGGTGACCCCAGGGACTCCCCAAATATTTCATTTGATTTGTTATATTGTCCCATACATGAATATATATGGTTTAGGGATGGGGATCTTGACTGTTTACAAGTTCTCAAACAAGAGGGGGTGGGGTGTCCCCATGGACTCCCCCTATATTTCATTTGATTTGTTTTATTGTCCCATACATGAATATATATGGTTTAGGGGTGGGGATCTCGACCATTTCCAAGTTCTCAAACAGGAGGGGGTGGGGTGACCCGAGGAACTCCCCATATATTTCATTTGATTTGTTTTATTGTCCAATACATGAATATATATGGTTTAGGGGTGGGGATCTTGACTGTTTACAAGTTCTCAAACAGGAGGGGCGGGGGTGTCCCCAGGGACTCCTCCTATATTTCATTTGAATTGTTTTATTGTTCCATACATGAATGGATATGGTTTAGGGTTAGGGATCTCAACCATTTCCAAGTTCTCAAACAGGAGGGGTTGGGGTGACCCAAGGGACTCGCCATATATTTCATTTGATTTGTTATATTGTCCCATACATGAATATATATGGTTTAGGGGTGGGGATCTCGACCGTTTACAAGTTCTCAAAAAAGGAGGGGGTGGGGTGACCCCAGGGACTCACTCTATATTTCATTTTGGATTTGTTTTATTGTCCCATACATGAATATATATGGTTATGGGGTTGGGATCTTGACCATTTCCAAGTTCTCAAACAGGAGGGGCTGGGACGACACTGGGGACTCCCCCAAATTATTTTCATTTGATTTTTTTATTGTCCCATTCAAGTATATATATTGTTTAGGGGTGGGGATCGCGACGGTTTACAAGATAAAAGTACATTTTCAAATTGAAGGGGGTTGGGATGACCCCCAGGGACTCACCCTACATTTTGGTTGATTT